CCCCCCAATAACTGCTCCTATCATTAGATTTTTGGAGGGATTTTTCCTGCTATTGGTCTCAAGTTGTAACTCAATACATATACAATAAAGACACTTGTTTCAGATTCTCCATTCCTCTGGCATATTTAGTATAGGTATCGTTGCTGTTAATCTTTTCCACTTCAAAATTATAATATTATTTCCTGATGACAAGGGAGCTATTGTTATAATGTGATTTCTGGGTTCCATCAAATGGAATAAAATCAGTGGTGGGTTGCCTTTGATAACTTACTGTCCTTTTCTAGGCAGGTGTTGCTTAATGAACACCACAGTCTGTCAGGATTTGGAATCATATGATGAGCAAACAAGGAAAGCAAACCAGGGATAATTAAATTCCTTTTTAAATTGTTCTTTTCAAAATAAACTAGTGCCTAAAATTTTCTGTTCACAAATTAGCCCTTTAGGACATGTCAGGAGTGTAGCTAATGAACAGTTGCAATGAATATTAAGTTAATGTGGCTTCAGGGGGTGGTTGCTTGACATGAGGCAGAATACCTTTCTCCAGATAAGACCAAATCGTTTTTGTCTGTGTTCGATGTGGTAATTAGCATTCTGATGAGTTTTTGATGTTCCCAGATATCCGTGGAATACAAGAGTTTTTGGACAAAGTATCTCAGCAGGGAATGGATGTAGCACTTCAGAAAGTGGAGAACAATATCAATAAAATGATCACAGGACTCTTCACTACCATGCGGATTGAAGAACTCAACCGCTATCGGGACACGCTGAGACGGGCCATTCTGGTAATGAACCCATCGACAGCCAAGTCTTTCATTGCTGAGGTAAGTGAAAGCACCAGCTGACTATTCACTTAAAATTCAGTGTCCTTTGAAACTTCTGAGGAAACCATTTGATTTTCATTGCTGAAAAGGAAATCTGATTTTATTATACAATTCTTTTTTTCCTTTATTTGAACGGCATGTGTATGTGAGAATGGATGTATTAATCTGCCCAAATCTTTGGACTCTAAATCCAATAATTGGTTTGCAAATGATGTACAGAAACTATGGGTCTTAAAATTCCAACACAACTAAAGAACACCAGGTTGAGGAAGGAATACATATAGGTTATTATTTGTAAAATAAAAATAGCTTTTAACCTAATGCTTTATGGGGTTTGGTATTTTGTCTTATTAGCATTTATTATTGTTGTTCTTTAATTATTTTCCTGTACAATTTATTCCATTATTGTACTGTATTTATTGTTTTACTTTCAAATATCAAATTATTGGAGGCATAGGTGTTCATTCATAACTATTAATTATGCCAAAATGATGAAACATGTGTCATGACATCACAATGCAAATTCTACCATTTCATCCTTGTGCTGCAGAGTTAGTATGACACACATTTCATCACTTGCTTCCCTGGCCCCTTCCTGATATGTTAACTGCAAAATACTTTTTCTAATAATATATCCGCTAATTTAATAGTAATTGAGAGAAATTGAAACATTTCACCCAAACTTTTAAGTAGAAGGAAAACACCATAGTTTGCTCATATCGATTACCAGGTTTCTCAAATAGTGGGATTTTGTAGGTGACAGCTAGCCCCAAAGACCACAACAACACTAGAAATAATATTAATGCTGGCCACAAATGGCTTTTTGAAATTCTTTCCCAGATTTGTGAGCAAAACAAAATAAAAACTAAAATGGTGGGTTCTCTAGGAGAGGAAATTCTTCAACAATTTCTCAAAGGCATTTTTTTTCTTTTTCTTTTCTAATTTCTTTCTTACTTATTCACTATTCTTATTTTTTTTCCCCTAATATGTGTATTCTCTTTATCTTGTTAAAAATTTCTTCAATAAAAATTATATTAAAAACAAAACAAAACCCTTATGGACTTTTTGCTGAAAAAAGAAAAAAAATAAACCTGTGATTTATGAGTTTGACAATTAGAAAGGGTAGTTTACGGAAAGAAAGAAATTACAATGTAATCTTAGCCACAGAGAGAGAGAGTAAAGTATAAATGCATTTATAACCACTGTCAAAAACATCAGAAGCTTCTTCTTTATTACCTTTTTCTTTTTCCTTTCTTATTCACTATTCTTCCTTATTTTCTTTGTTTCTTTTCTAATATTTTTTATTTATTTATTTATTTATTTATTTATTTATTTATTTGCTTTATTTAAGAGGTTTATATGGCCACCCATCTTAAACAACTCTGGGCGGCTCACAACAATAACAAAACCAATAACTGTAAAACAATCATAAAGCAATAAAACAACAAAACAAAAACCCTGAGCCTTAATCATCCCCTTGGGATGCCCCACAGCAAGCTCCAGTTGCCCTCATTCCATAATTTCTACCTATTCAATCCTATCCCAGTGCCTCAGGAAAACGCCAGGTCTTAATGGCCTTCTAAAAGGCTAGAAGGGTGGGGGCCTGCCAAATCGCTGGGGGGAGGGTGCTCCACAAGGTAGGGGCAGCCATGGAAAAGGCATGCTTCTGAGGTCCCACTAGGTGGCAGGATTTCAGGGGAGGGACCTGGAGCATGCCTACCCTCTCTGATCTAGTCGGATGGGCAGATATTCCTAGGGAGAGGTGATCCCACATATAACCAGGTCCTGGGCCATATAGGGCTTTAAAAGTGATAACCAGCACCTTGAATTGCACCTGAAAAGAAAGTGGGAGCCAGTGCAGCTCATGCAGTAAAGGTATAACATAGGCAAATCTATGAGCACCCAATACTGTGCACGCCGCTGCATTCTGGACCAGTTGTAACTTCCACGTGGCCTTCAAAGCCAGCCCCATGTAAAGCACATTGCAATAATCCAATTGGGAAGTGACTAAGGCACGAGTGACTGTGAGCAAGGCCTCCTGGTCCAGGAAAAGGTGAAATTGGCACACAAGATGGATCTGTGCAAAGGATATTTGTATTGCTTTCATCTTGTTAAAAATGTCTTCAATAAAAATATATATTTAAAAAAAAAATTCTCAAAGGCATGATTCCCCTTAACAATGATTGTAGTCATATTATTTCAAGAATTCTTCCTGATGTACCTTAGGATCTATGGGAATCCAGTGAGGTTGCAGATCACTGAGAAATAATCATACAATGAAGGACAGACCTCTCCATTTTGGGGAATATCTTTAAAATGTTCTCCTTTAATAGAATTTCTGAAAGTTCAAACTGAATGAGAACTGGCACTAATCAAAGCTTTATTTATTTATTTATTTATTCATTCATTCATTCATTCATTCATTCATTCATTCATTTAT